ATCTATAACATATGCTGCTTTTAGTTTTGCATGTACAAGCAAAAGTTAATGTGTACTTGATCTTTGTTCTTTTATAGGAAATCTTGGATTATTCCCATGTCCCTGGGCGAGCTGTTCTTCACCGTGGGCGCCATCGGCATGGTGCTAGGGCTACAACATCTGGGCACCGAATTAATTTATTACTGTGGTGTAGAAGGTACATTTTATTCATTGAAGCTGTTTGAAGGATTTTTGCTGTGCTGCACATGAATCATATAGATCTCCGAGTTCCCAATTGCAAACTCTCTTAATTTGTTTGAAGTGGTGTCTGCTCTGTGAAAGTTCCGAGGACCTTCCTTAGAATCAGATGTAGATCACGAGGAAAGGATGGTAGAGTAGATTGAGATGTCTGTTATTTAGTCTATTGGTAATAGCGTTGGTGTTTGTTATCATGTTCAGTAGCTACCTCTGAAACTGTTGCTGTCTTTGCAGTTCCGTTTTCAGAGAGTTGAGAAAATACCAAAAGGATTGTTCAGGCTGGTGTGCAGAGTGTCAACGGGAGAAGAAAGAAAGGCAGCGTCAGTCAGTTGCTGCAACGAAACTGGTATTGTGTTACCTTTTAAGATTTCACTTCAAGATTTCAATTATGGATGCATTCATTTTTCTTCCTTTCATCAGGAATTACTGAGAAGAGAAGGAGAAGCTGCTTCTTGAACAGTTTATTGTCTCTAATTATTGTGCTGCAAAGAGAAGGAGATGAAGCTGCTACTTGAACAGTTTATTGTCTCTAATTATTGTGCTGCAAAGAGAAGGAGATGAAGCTGCTTCCTAGCTGTTCATTGTGTTTTGACTTTTGCTTTGAAACTGTAATATAGCTCAACTCATCCTCATGGCAGAAGCATTTTCCCGTTAGTCGTATAGGGATGCTGAAGATGTCGTCTGTTTTGTCCTTTTTTTTTTTTGTCAAGATAGCTGTACATCTAAATCAAGTAGGTGTTGGGTCATCCCAATTGTTAGCTGACTTGAATATGGCTTTACCATTTGGTACAATGAACATTTTGTAGTGAGTTGAATCCTCATGGTGAATGAAGCTGTACTCTGTAGATGAGTGGTGCTCTGCACATCTTAGGTACATACATTTGATTGTAGAAATTGCTGCATTTAAATTGTGAAATCAAATCAGTGTTTGCTGAGGTGCTGCCCTGGCATGGAAATAGGTGATAATTTCGATATGATGTAATTGCTCATTATAATTTGTGTCGGCTGCCAAAGATGTGCAAAACAACTGCTAATCAGATTGTACTAGGATAGGAGAGACTATTACTAATTAAACGGAGTTTACTCACCTTTTACAAGTAGCAATATGGCCACTATGCAAAAGAGCGGCTTCCTTTTCCAAAACATTCGAAAGAAAAACGCGTACTATAGAAAGGTATGCTTCCTTTTCCAAAACGTACAAAAGAGAGGAGAAAGGTATGGAGTGGGATGAGTATGTGGCAAATGAGCGGGATCTGGACGGGGTTTAATTGGAACTGTATTACTATTTAATATGGTTTATATTCAAGCAATCTCATAGTATTAGTGATGGGACCAATATGAACGGGACTAAAATGAGTTTGATTCATTTTAATGCCGCCTGATGCGACTGCCAAAAACCAGATCCGAGCTGAGCTGTATCGAGCCGAGCTGATCAGGCGCAGGCGACCTAGGAGTGGAAGCCGAGCTACTGCACCTACAAAGGAAGGTCAGGCGCGGGACTGGTGTCCCCGGAATAACTCCGACGGCCAAGTTAGTCAAGCTTGTCCACAGAGTGATAGTAGAGAATACTTGTGTATGCGTACCTTGTATAGTCCTTACGCTGACTATATATAGAGTAGAATGGGTTGCAGTTTCCTTATTGGAGTCAGTGTCCCCTTAGGGTTCGGAGTCTTCTTAGGGTTTCGTGCGGCGGCTCCTACAAGTTCGGAGGCGGCGGCCCATAGGCCCATTTTCAAGGAGCAACGGGCAAGGCTGAGCCGGCATCCGCATGCCGAGCTGGTGCCCGCGAGCTGCGAGGTCTCCACCGTCGACCTGGCGCGTACAACCTGCCGAGCTGACACGTGTCACATGCAGATTTGCCCCACTACACTAGCCCCCTTGAGTCTAGAGTCACTGATGAGTCACGTGGGTCTAGATCAAATTTCGAAGCATCACGTCGGCTTCGGGCGGGACCCACGATCCCACAATCACGTTCCTCCTCCGAAAAACTGCCACGTCCGTCTTCGTAACCGTCACTTCAAGGGTCGCGTCCTTCATGATGGCGGTTTGTCAGCTCAAGCGTCTTCCTAGGTAACCGCTCCCTTGCAATAAATTCGAATTTCTTCCTCGGGACTCTCCGGCTTCCCGCCCAGGGAGCCTATAAATAGGCCCCACCAAACGTCACTTTCAAGCCTTCCTTCTCATTTTCTCTTCTCCTCCAGTCTTCCTCAGCTCGCTCCGCATTCCGTGAGGTCGTCCGAGAGTAGGATTACCTTCTAAGCACACCTCAGCTCTTCTCCTTTATCCACCAGTAAGTCCTCTTCTTCCTTTTATGTCGTCTTCCTCCACACACTCAGACCTTACCAGCTCAGCACCTAGGCGTAGGATTACCCGACCTGCATTCATAGAAATACCTTCCTCCAGCCCCTCTTCTTCCAGCTCGTCTGATTCTGAATACCTTCCTCCCCCAGCCCCACCTCTTGCTACAGCCATGGACCAACCTGGCCCATCTGCTCAGCCCGGGGCTGGAGCTGCTGTCCCAGGGATTCCTCTGGAGGTAGCCCCAGCTCGCTCTAGGGCAGGACCCCCTAGGGGGCCAGACATCGACTTTGGAGAAGTCGAAATTATTCCCCCCCTTCTCGACCAGGGGGACGTAGATGAGCTAGTGAGGAGGTATGACATCCTTCCCCAGTTCGAGGCTAGGGCAGCCCGGCCAGGGGAGTACGCTTGCCTACCTCCCCCCGGGTTTGTAGCTATCTACAGGGATCAGCTCGTGGCTGGTTTTCGCCTTCCTATTCCCCAATTCCTTTATGACATCCTGACCTTCTGGGGCATTCGAATCACCCAGGTCGTTCCCAACGCCATTCGGTCCATCCTCGGCTTCTTTATTTTGTGCCGAGCTCTTGAAATCCCTTATTCCCTGAACTTATTTAGGTCCTTCTTTCAGATGAAGGTAAGTGGCCCAGTTCACGGTTGGTTCTACTTTGCTCGCAGGAGCGGAGGGGAACTTCCTACCCGCGAACTGTTCACTCATATGCCTTCTTCCATCAAGGGCTGGAAAGCCCACTTCTTTTTTGTGAAGAATACTGCGTTTCCTCCCCTAACTTGGAGAGAGGATACCCAGGTAACCGATCCCATCCCTTCTCCTCTGCCCGAGGCCGAGCTAGACCGCTTGGTCAGCTCGGAAGCTCAACTGAAGGTGAAGGAATTTAACAATGCCCAGCTCTGGTCGGCGGGGCTAATCCGAGCAGAGGTGAACGACCCTGCCCCCGATCTCCGACCTATCACCCCCGAGGAGCTGACAGCTGGTAATTTTCTCGACCTGCTCCTTTCCATGAGTCCTCACCACCCTAACTGACTAAGTGTTTTTGTCCTGCAGTGAAGAGGTTTTCCCAGCTGCTGAACATTGGCGGAGCTGGTAGCGCGAGCACGCCAACTCCTGCGCCTTCCACTGCGCCGAGCAGCACGGTTCCTCTACCTCCACCTGTGTCCACTCCCCAGACTGCCGCCTAGTCTTCACTGGGGGAGGGACCCAAGAAGAAAAGAAAGAAATCCACGGCCAAGAAGGCCAGAACAGAGGCGGCTTCCCCCCAATCCCAGGAGGAGCCCTCTACTGCCGTTACCTCTCATTACGGGGTGAGCTCCGCCGAGCAGCAGGCCTCGTCACAATCTCCCCCCGCTATGTGGCGCATGAGGAATGTGATTCCCATGAAACCCCCTACCGAACTGGGCTCACACCCCCACCCCCTCCATTTCTGCCCGAAGTGGGGGTTGTCGGTGAACGACCGAGCTCAGTTCCCTGAAGTGGCGAAGGAGCTCCTCAAGGGCGCGGTGCTCCCCCGCGATCACCACTTCATCCAACTTGCCTCCAATGCCGAGCTGCTAGAGCACTTCTACCTCAGCACCACCCAGGTAGCTCCTTAACTAGCACTTCCTTTGGCCTCCTTCCGAGTTTTGCTGCCTACTTATCTCATGACTGACATGCAGATCAATGTTGTGGGGGCCGAGCTGGCTCAGCGGTATGAAAACATGGGGGTCAACCTGTCCCAGGTTGACGCTGCCAAGGAGAAGTTGTCGAGCCAGCTCGAGGCTGCAGAGACCGAGCTGGAGGCCCTGAAGAAGCAGCTCGCAGACGCCAACTTCTCCTGCGAATTGGAAAGGAAGAAAGCGGCCGACCTGGCTGCGACTCTGGAGGCAGAGCAGAAAAAATCTGCTGAGCTAGTGGAGGCGGCAAGAGAAGAAGGGCGTCAGCAGGGCGTCCAGGAGTTCAAGAAATCTGAACGCTTCATGAACGACCTGGCCCTCCTGAATGGTCCCGTCCTGCAGCTCGGCTACACAAAAGCCTTACTTGACGTGCAGTCCCAGAACTTGCCGGGTTTTGACCTGGGCAAATGGCCTGATTACAACCCTCAAGCCACCAACCAAATTGACAGGCTTGTCACAGGCTACCTCAATGGGCGTGACCTAACTGCCTTGATCGCCGACCCCAACCTTCCCGCCCTCTCTCCCGAACCAGAGCAGGAACAGCAGGGAGAGAGCTAGGCGGTTTAGGTCTGTAGGTTTTAAGCTAGACTAGGGACCGAGCTGGCCAGCTCGCTTTTGTATGGCCCCCCTCTTGTATATGCCTTTTTGGAATAAAATGCATGACCTTTTCTCTTAACCAACACTTGTAACAAATTTCTTTTTTATTTCAAAGCTTTGAGTACATGGATAATCCCAAATACCGAAATAACAAAAATAAAGACAGACCTGTCCAGCTGGCCACTCGCAGCTCGGTCAGGGTACTAAAGAAAAAGCCTTAAGTTTGAGTTGTGCCACGTGCGTGGGACTTCGCCTCCATCCAGACGAGCTAGCTTACAATACCCTGCTCGATCAGCTTCTTTTACGACGTAAGGGCCTTCCCAATTCGGATCTAACTTGCCCGTGCCCCCAGCTCGATTTACAGAATTTTTGCGTAGCACCAGGTCCCCCGTCCTGAAGGAGAGTTGTCTCACCCGGGCGTTGTAGTAGCGTGCGACCTGGCTCTTATACTTAGCCATTCTTATAGCCGCCTCTTCCCTTTTATGCTCGAGCAGATCTAGGTCGAGTCGCATTTCCTCGTTGTTGCCCTGGGCCACGAAGTGTTGCACCCTGGCTGATGGCATCCCAATTTCCGCAGGGATCACCGCCTCCACCCCATATACCAGAGCAAAGGGAGTCTCCTGGGTAGCTGTTCGAGGAGTAGTTCGGTAAGCCCATAATATAGTGGGCAGCTCGTCCAGCCAACCCGTCCGCGCGGATTCTATCCTTGTCTTCAGACCGTGCAGGATGGTTCTGTTAACATTCTCGACCTGTCCATTGGCCTGGGGGTGCCCTACTGAGGTGAAGTGTTGCTGAATGCCGAGCTCAGTGCACCACTTTTGAAGCGAACGATCCACGAACTGTCGGCCGTTGTCCGAGACGAGAGCCCTAGGGATGCCAAATCGGCAGACTATGCCTTTCCATAGGAACTTCTGAATTGACCTACTGCTGATTGTGCCAAGTGGCTCGGCCTCCACCCATTTAGTGAAGTAGTCAATGGCTACCACCAAGTGTTCGTAGCCCCCTGGAGCCCGTGGAAATGGTCCCCAACAAGTCAATTCCCCATTGAAAGAACGGCCATGGGCTACTGAGAGGGATAATCTCCTGAGTGGGAGTGTGATGAACTGGAGCGTGTAGCTGGCAAGACTTACACCGAGCTACCAGTTCGGTCGAGTCTCTGAAGATGGTGGGCCAATAGTACCCGGCCAGCATTCCCTTCTTGGCTAATACCCTGGAGCCAACGTGATTGCCACAGATGCCCTCATGCAACTCGCGCAAGACATAGCTCCCTTCCTCAGATGTTATACACCTCAGCCAGGGCTGCAAGTAGGATTTCCTATACAGGACGCCCTGCACGAGCGTGTACCTCTGCGACTTAAGGAGGATTTTGCGGGCCTCTATCCTGCTCGGGGGGAGTTCACCCTGCGCCAAGTATCGAACAATGGGGTCCATCCAGGAGCTCACCACCTGGATGACCGCAGCACTGACCTGATCATATGCACGACTCCTGACGACCTCCACAACTATCTCCCGACCTAGGGTGCCAACCGAAGTGGAGGCCAGTTTGGACAGGGCATCAGCTCTCTTGTTCAGACTCCGCGGGATCTGCTCTAGCGCGAACTGCCCGAACAGGCCCTTCAGCTCATGTGTCTTGGCCACGTATTTTCTCAGCGTCCCCTCTTTGATTTCGTAGCTTCCCCATACCTGGTTGACTATCAGCTGCGAGTTGCTATAGACTTTCAACGATCTGGCCCCTAACTTCCGAGCCATCTCCATTCCTGCAATTAGAGCTTCGTACTCAGATTCATTATTAGAGGCTCTGAAATCAAACCTTAATGCGTAAGGCAGCTCCTCTCCCGTAGGGCTGATTAGGAGAAGCCCTGCTCCGCATCCTTCTTTACTTGACGCCCCGTCCACATACAGCGTCCACGTGGGCTCTGTTTGCTCCGCTGTTTCCCTAGCCTTCCCGTCTCGGGCAGCTGTCCTGGCCAGCTCGGCCTTGGCAGTCTCTTCGGGATATGCGACCTCAGCTGCGTCTCCGACCTGTTGGACCTCCGCTGCGTCTATGGCCTGCTTGGCCTCGGCAGCCTCTGGGGCCGGTCCGGTCTCCCCAGCTTCTCTGGTCAATCCGCCCTCCGCTACCTGACTGGCCTGGGCGACCTCAGCAGCGTCTTTGGTCCGTGGGACCTCGGCTGCCTCTCTGATCTGCACGGCCTTGGCAGTCTCCGGGATCTGTGTGGCTCTGGCGGCGCGCGTGTCCTTAACTTCCCTATCCGGTCTGGCCTGGTCTATCTCCCCTCCAGTCGACCCAAAAGAGATGCCATCTGCTATGAAATCTGCTAGTGCTTGAGCTTTGATGGCCGTTCTGGGCTGATACCCCAGGTCATACTCAGATAATTCCACCGCCCATTTTACCATCCGACCTGAGGACTCGGGTTTGGACAGGATCTGCTTCAGGGGCTAGTCCGTTATGACTACCACGGGATGAGCTTGGAAATAGGTCCTCAGCTTCCGAGCTGCGTGGACTAGCGCCAAGACATATCGCTCTATCGCCGAGTACCTGGATTCGGCCCCCTGCAGGGCGCGACTGACATAATACACTGGTTTCTGTAACTTGTCCTCCTCTCGCACCAGCACTGCGCTTACAGCCCCCTCTCCCGCAGCTAAGTAAATGAATAGGGTCTCCCCCACCTCGGGGGAAGTCAGAGCTGGCAATCGAACGAGGTGTTCCTTGAGCTCGTCAAACGCCTTCTGGCACTCCGGGTTCCACTCGAACTGCCGACCTCCTTTCAGGGTCTTGAAGAAAGGCGCCCCCCGAACTGCCGATTTAGACAAGAACCTGTTCAAGGCAGCCATCCTCCCTGTCAGACGTTGTACCTCCTTAATATTCCGGGGTGGAGCCATATCCATGATGGCCTTAATCTTGTCTGGGTTAACTCTCACCCCCTCTTTGGAAATCATGTACCCCAGAAATTTTCCCGACCTGACACCAAAAGTGCACTTCTTTGGGTTTAGCCGCATTCGTGAGTGTCAAAAGATCTCGAAAATCTCCCTCAGGTCGGAGATGAACTGCTCCTGAGTTCGACTTTTCACCAACATATCGTCCACATAAACCTCCAGGTTTCGGCCGATCTGATTCCTGAACAACTTGTTTACCAGCCTTTGATAGGTTGCACCTGCATTTTTTAAACCAAACGGCATGGTGACGTAACAATATGTGCCATCCTCGGTGATAAACGAGGTCTTCTCCTGGTCCTCCTCGTCCAAGGCTATCTGATGGTACCCCTTGAAAGCATCCAAGAAACAGAAAATCTCATAACCTGCTGTTGAGTCCACGAGCTGATCAATCCGGGGAAGTGGGTAACAATCTTTAAGGCAAGCCTTATTCAAATCTGTGAAATCCACACACATCCTCCAGGCTTTCTCCTCCTTTTTGACCAGCACCGGATTAGCCAACCAGGTCGGGTAGTAGACCTCCTTAACGATCTTGGCCTCCAGCAGCTTACCCACCTCGCTTTTGATGACCTCCTTTCGTTCAGGAGCAAAGTTCCTTTTCTTCTGTTTCACAGGTCGGACGCTGGGATCCACCTGTAGCCTATGAACCGCCAACTCGGTGGGGATTCCTGGCATGTCATCAGCACTCCAAGCGAAGATCTCAGCATATTTCTCCAAGAGAGCTTCCAAAGAACTCTTGACCAGCTCGGCTAGGCCCATGCCGACCTTCATGGTGCGCTCAGGTCGGCCGGGCTGGACGGGCAGCTCGGTTAATCCCTCGTCCGTTTCCAATCTTTCTCCCTTCTCCATGGGCTCCCAGGGCTCTAAGCAAGCTGTTTGAGCTGCTAACTTCTCTTTGCCCTTGAGGGTAGCAATGTAACATGCCCTGGCCACTTCTGGATCCCCGAGCACCTCAGCCACCCCCTCGGGAGTAGGAAACTTCATGCTGAGGTGCAACGTAGAGCAAACAGCTCGGAGGGCATTCAGTGTGGGCCGTCCCAAAATCATATTGTATGACGACGGCTCCTTAACCACCACGAAGTTTACCGGAACAGTTCGGCACTTCGGGGATACTCCGACCGTAACCATGAGGGTGATCATTCCCTCTGGCCTCACGGGAGGGCCTGCAAACCCGATTAATGGAGTCCGAACCGGGACCAGCTGCCTATCCTCCAGCTGCAGCTCTTTAAAAGTCTTGTAATACAGCACGTCTATAGCACTCCCGTTGTCTATGTATACCTTCTTCACCTTGTAATTGCAGGTGATGACCTCAATCACAATAGCTTCATGATTGTTGGAGGCCAGGGGGATTGCGTCATCTGGTCCGTAGATAATTTCCTCATACATCTTCAGACGCTTGGCCGAGCTCTCCCCCGCGGGGGGAGGTCGATTGTGCCGCCGAGCTGTATGACTATCCCCGCCAGCCGGTCCTCCTGCGATGGTATTAATCACCCCGGCCAGATTCTGCGTTTCCTGTTCAGGAGCTCGACCATGAGGCCCCTGAGGTCGATCCCGGAGGTAGCTTGGTCGTTCTGGCCTGGACCTCCCTTGTTGCTGGTCAGCCCGGTCCTCTCGTATGAACTGCCCGAGGTGACCTCGTTTGATTAGTTTCTCGATGTCCTTCTTGAGGTGACGGCAGTCCTCCGTGTCATGCCCCACATCTCGATGATAGGCGCAGAACAACCCTTGGTCCCGTCTGCTTTTGTCCCCTCCCAAAGGTCGAGGAGGTCGGGAGAGCCCCTCCTGTTCCATGACCGCCAGCACCCGAGCTCGAGGTGCGGTGAGGCTAGTCCAGGGCTTATCTCCTCCACTTGGACGGCTCTTGGGGAGGCGATCGTAAGTGCTCTTCCTTCCCTGGTTGGGACGAGCCTTCACCTGGTCGGCTCCCCTCCTACGTTTGTCATCCCTCAGCCTTTCTTGTGCGCTCTTAAGGCGATTAGCCTCCTCCGCATTGGCCTTCTCATGAGCTCGGTCCAGCATTTCCCGTACCGACTTGGGAGGTCTCTCCACGAGCTCGGTGTAGAGCTTCTGCTTGCGCAGCCCGTTAATTAAGGCTGCCATAACCACCTTGTCATCGCGATCCCTGACCTGAAGGGACTCGTTGTTGAAACGCACCATGTATTCGCGTAAGGATTCCTCAGGCCTTTGCTGAATGGTCATTAGGTGCGCCGTGCTCTTGGAGAAGGCTCGTGATGAGACAAACTGGGCTGCAAACAGCCGAGCAAGCTGAGCAAAGGACCTAATGGACTTGGGGGGAAGCCCCTGGAACCACTGACGTGCCTTCCCCTCCAGAAACATGGGAAAAGTCTTGCACCTGACTGCATCTGCGGCAGTTTGCAGACGCATTTGGGTCAGGAATGCAAACAAATGATCCTCCGGATCCGTGGTCGCATCGTAAGGCTTCATGTTAGGTATCTTGAACTTCGCGGGCAATGGATAGTTCTCTATATCAGGCACGAAAGGAGACGCGATGTACCTGTCCGCCTCGGCATCCAAGAGCAGGTCCAGCTCGTCCTACACCTGGAGCTGCTCTTTCCGAGGTGAGGGTTCATCCCTAGAATACCTCCGGACAGGCTCCGGGTGCTCAGTTCGGGAGTGCTTGTGAGTGGGCTCCCCCACGTCGATGTGCTCACTTGAGGGCTCCCGGCGTACGCGTTTGAGCTGGGGGTTGGGGCTCCCAGTCCTGGACTCGGTTGGGCCCTCCGAGTCCTTCGGCTCCTGGTCCAGGTGCCCTCCTGTCTGCCCCCTGAGGTAATTCACAATGGCCTCGAAAGTGGGCAGGTTTCCTGCTATCGCCTGAACCAGTTGCTCCGGCGGGATCCGCGAGAGTCCCGTCCCCTCACCTCCAGGGGTCGGACTCCGGGCAGACTGTTGGGGGCCGCTTCCTCCGTTCCCCTTGGAGCCATCGGCATTCCTCTGAGACCTCGTCCTTGGCATGATTCGCAAGAGAAGTTACGTGTTCCCACAGACGGCACCAATTGATGCGACTGCCAAAAACCAGATCCGAGCTGAGCTGTATCGAGCCGAGCTGATCAGGCGCAGGCGACCTGGGAGTGGAAGCCGAGCTACTGCACCTACAAAGGAAGGTCAGGCGCGGGACTGGTGTCCCCGGAATAACTCCGACGGCCAAGTTAGTCAAGCTTGTCCACAGAGTGATAGTAGAGAATATTTGTGTATGCGTACCTTGTATAGTCCTTACGCTGACTATATATAGAGCAGAATGGGTTGCAGTTTCCTTATTGGAGTCAGTGTCCCCTTAGGGTTCGGAGTTTTCTTAGGGTTTCGTGCGGCGGCTCCTACAAGTTCGGAGGCGGCGGCCCATAGGCCCATTTTCAAGGAGTAACGGGCAAGGCCGAGCCGGCATCCGCATGCCGAGCTGGTGCCCGCGAGCTGCGAGGTCTCCACCGTCGACCTGGCGCGTACAACCTGCCGAGCTGACACGTGTCACATGCAGATTTGCCCCACTACACCGCCTAAATATCTAATAAATCATATTTTATTTTTTTAACTCTTTTTTCCCTAATCAAATTTCCCAATATTGATTTTTTTTTTCAAAGTACCATTTAGTTAGTTTGTTTAACTTTGTAAAACTGTCCTCCATTATTGCTCTACCTATCTATTATATAATGCTAATAGATAGATGATTAAGAGTAATTCAAATATTACGGTGGTTGCAAAAATATTAATAGCTAGGTGTCCACTTCAAACCCGTTTTCTTTTCTACATTTCTACTTCTATTAGCAAAAAATATTTGCTCCCAATCCCCCTCCCACAATTTCCCTCCTCTCTGCCTCCTTTTTTTTTTTTTTTATTCCACTCCTCTCTTATCGTATTATCTTCATCTCTTTCCCACCTTTCTCCTCTCCAATTTCTCACAACTATCCATATTAACAAAAAAAAATTCGAAAAAATTATAAATGGAATTATCAAGGAGATTAGTTGACACAGTTGTAAATGGTAAAAACATGGTGATGACAACGCATTGACAAAAAATTTAAAGATGGAATCATTGAGGAGATCAGTTGACATAGTTGTACGTTATGAAAACACGGTGATGACTTTGACAATGAGTATTTGTATGCGAGTAGATACAAGTCTAACAATAATATTACGCGTAAGACTAAATTAATTTATTTATAGAATATCAACTTTATTTGCATGTGTATAATAGGACAAGTATTGACCAAATTATTTGAAAACTTTTTCTAAATATCCATTGTTGATTTGGTCAACTTTGGAGACATACTAACAGGATAAACCGGTTACTTTGCAAATTTTGAGCGACCAAATCAATTGAAATAAGCAATATGAGATTCCAAATTAGTTTTTGTTAAAACTTTTAGGACCAAATTTGCGGCACACGCGAATAATAGGGGACTAAAGTGGCAATTACCATGATTTATCCCCTTGCAATAAACTGACTTAGAATTTTCCACCCTATAAATAGTACAGCCGAGGGAGAGCGTGTATGTTGACTCGGCGATTCCTCTATAAGTGGTTCTTTCTTTAGGATCGAAACGATTTTTCATCCGCGAAATCCTCGGAAAAAAGAAAAAGAAGAAATCAATTCAGGTCTTGGATTTGGTCGAAAAACATTAACGCAGTAGATTGAGATTATTTCTCCTGCGTCATAATTCCTCGGTGTTTGATTCCTAATCTCCATTGGAAATCAAACAACCATAATCAGTTACGAAGCTCGATTTTCTAGGGTTTCCGACCATCCGCCGGCGATCGAGTACAACGATTTCGATTACAGAGCTCGAGAAACGGCGTCGGATAGCACCAATCAAGCAAATTTGCGGAAGAGCTTCACTAATTCGAAATTCTAGGGTTTCGTTCGCTGTATTCCATTTTTCTTACAAGTCTTGTTTTGTACAGAGAAAAGTATTAAAAGAGAGAAGAAAGTTTGTGATTGTTTCTGATTGAGTTGTATGTATCTTGGTGGATTGTATGGTTTAGGGTATCTTGGTGGATTGTATGGTTGGTCCGATTGTAGCCTTGGAAAAAAAAATTAATGAACAATTCTGATATTGTTAAGGAGTTTTTGATGTTTCCTTTATTTTTTCCTTTAATTTTTTGAGTTGAATAATTGTACTGAATCACTAACTTCTTATCATACTTGATCGAGTACAAAAAAGGGGTGCTTGTTTTGTCTTATTGTTGAAACACAAATAAAGGAAAAAAATTGTTGAAAAGCAAAAGATCATTGAAATTAAGTTTTGGAGAAGGAAAAGAGACTAATAACCTAATAGGTTGCTGCTGGTGGTGATATGAGTATGAATAGGATGGGTAACAGGTCGCAAAATCCTAATCGAGTTTATGGAGTAACAGAGCCAATTTCGATGGCTGGACCTTCTGAATCTGACATGATTAGAAATCGGGAATTAGAGAAGGTTAGGCTCGTTTACCTTTTCTATTTAGTTTCGTTGATATGGAGTAGCACAAACAAAGATGTTCGTTCTTGATATGTTAACAAAGGTTTAGTTAATGGTCTATCCTGTCATTCTACATTTTGTTGGAGGAAGTTTGTGCTTGTGGATAAAAGCTGATTTTATGAATTATTAAAATTGGTCATGTCTTGAATTTATGTGTAAATGTTGCTTCACTGGAGTCTTATTGTGGAAAACAGAGAATATTATGAACGTTTGGCTCTCAAAGGGATGTAGAGAGTAGGTTTTAAGATTATGCAGGAAGAGAAATCTATGTGCAGTGTGCCTACCTCACTGTGTCATTATCATGCCTGTCCCCCGTTTTTAAGTTTCATTTTGGTTTTTATTTCTTTTTTCTTGCACATGCACATACATGCGGTGTATCTAGGTTAACAACACATAGAAATGTTGTTATGTGTACAATTGGCCAGAGACTGAAAAGGTTAACTATACATAGACATATGGTTGATATGTATAAAACTGGCCAGGCCTGAAGGGAGGCTGGTTTACTCTCCCTCCCTCCCCCCCCCTCTCTCTCTCTCTCTCTCTCGCATATTGGGATGGTGAAAAAACATTTTTACTACTCTTGGCTTATTGGTTTATCTTTTAAACTCATGCAAAAGGATAGTTTTAGCGGCTAAGCTTAATTTCCTAAATATTTTTGGTTTTAAAATCTGATGATGTTTTGGTTAACAGTTTCTAGCAGATGCAGGACTTTTTGAAAGTCCTGAGGAAGCTATCAGAAGGGAGGAAGCTCTAGCTAGATTGGACCAGGTATCATATTGTTAATTTCGAGTTTATATTAGTCATTGTTCCACAATTTGGCTGTATGCACCTAATCGTAAGATATGGAACAGATTGTTAAGGATTGGGTAAAGCATGTTAGTCGCTCCAAAGGCTTAAATGAGCAAGTTGTTGAAGAAATGACTGCATTGATTTTCACATCCGGTTCTTATAGGCTTGGGGTATGATTCTTATGAAATCTTATCTCTTCACAGTGTACTGTGTCTTTACATAAAGTTTTCCTGTTTGCTATTGATATGTAATTTCTGTTCTTTTTCTTTTCCATATGCCTAGTGCCATTGAGATATTTAACTAGATTGCTATTGCTTGTATTAGGTCTTGATTTTGTTAAATTATCTTTGGACACACTATAACTATATAGATTTGGCGGTCTTACCTGGGCCTCAACTATTTTATGGTGGTGACTATTCTTTTATCCCTTTTTGCAAAAATTTTATGGATTGTGAGCATCAGGGATTCCTTTTTTGAAAATTTTAGTTGTCCAGTACAAAGATGGGTTTACGGGTGGGTGGGGCTGGTCTTTGGATAGTTCTTTTGTGCAGAAGACAAAGTTAAGCCATTTGTTGTCAGACTGGGATTTTATACAAGAACTCAAGTTCTTAAGTGAAATTTTTTTTTTTTCTAAGTTGAACTTATTTGCAAGTGATACAGATTTTTTTTTTCCCTTAAACATTAAACATGTTAACATTCTGTGCCTACTTGTTGCATCTTGTAGTTGCAACTCAAGTGATCACCTGTAAGCTAAGGGGTGCTACTTGTGCGTGGCCTTGCCCATACGAGAACTGAATATACTTTTTGATGCTCGAATTATGACTTGTGGCCTTTAGTTTTGAGTGTTTTTATTGCTGGAGGAGGTTATAATTTCATTCAAATATTTTCTGGAGTACATATAATCGTATATACTTCCAATTTTCAAGGGAAACAATCTGAAATCTTCTTCAGCAACACTCAAAAGTTAAGAACATTTTCCAGGACTATAGATGGTTATTTATTAGATTGTTGTGGAGCTGTAGAGAAATAAGAGATATTTGTTCAGTTGTTCGTTTGTTCTATAAACTGCCAAAGATTTACTGCTGCTAATTGGGTTTTAATCGCTTTATGTTTTTCGTGAATAGGTACACAGCCCCGGAGCTGATATAGACACCTTATGCGTGGGCCCTATGCATGTTACTCGCAATGTAAGTTTAGAACCTCTCTCCCTCTCTTCCACCCTCCCCCTCAAAATGTGGAATTTTTTTGCTTATCTATTTTGATTAGCGATGATGAAATAATATCCCTATGCGTCAAATGCAGGAGGATTTTTTTGGGGAATTGCATAGAATTCTGGTGGAGATGCCTGATGTGCAAGAGTTGAATTCAGTGCCTGATGCTTATGTCCCTGTCATGAGATTCAAACTTGATGGCATTCCCATAGATCTGCTTTACGCAAGTCTACCACTCCCAAATATACCTGAAGTATGAATTTGTTTTTTGAGTGATCTCTTTCTTTTTACTTCTTACCATGTGCATTGGAAAACTTTATGTTTGCTATGGTTCTGAAGCTGTCATCTATTATTATTTTTTGTAATATGTCGTATACCTATTATGAACCTTTTCTGAGTGGTTTTTTTTTTCCATGCGCATTTGGAAAACTTTATGTAACCTATACTTCTGAAGCTCTGTGTTATTATTTTTGTGGTATGTTGTATGCATATTCCTGGAGTATGATTTTTTTGGTCTTTCTTTTGTTTAATTCTGAGATTGTTGAGCCTAGTATTATGTGCTTTAAAAGTGATTATGGTGCACTATTGTTCGACACTTTGGAGGCACATTCTTAGTGGGATAAATTCTGTTTGTGATATTATCATCTGTTATTACTGCCTCTCTGCCTATGAAATTCTGGCATTGGCTCCTTATGTCAAACCCATCCTGTTGGTGCTCCTGAGTCATCATCTTTTGTCTTTTGAAAAAATCGAAGTTATCTTTTAATTTTTTGAAAACTTTAAAGTTCAGGCTCAAAGATGGCTCTCAGATTTGTAAACTTCCATAATTGCATCTCTGAACGTGTACTACTCTTGTAGGACCTGGATATCTCTCAAGATTCCATACTACATAATGTGGATGAGCAGACTGTTCGCATTTTAAATGGGTGCAGGGTTACTGATGAAATTTTGAATTTGGTACCAAATATACAGGTTTGTACTGCTATATAAGTGAGTACTAATGCAGCTATGTGATTTTCATTTTCTAATGGTTTCTCTAATCTTTATTCCACAGAATTTTCGAACTGCTCTAAGATGTCTAAGATTGTGGGCAAAGCGGCGTGGGATATATTCAAATGTAGGAGACAGATTTATAACTCTTTTTACTTCTCTTTTCCTAGGCATGCTTTTGCTTGTCGCCTATCCTTATCTTTAACCTGATTTTATTTTTGTTATGGCCAGGTGGCAGGCTTTCTTGGTGGTGTTAATTGGGCAATACTTGTTGCTCGCATTTGCCAGCTATATCCCAATGCCCTGCCTTGCACGTTAGTCTCTCGGGTTTTCAGAGTCTATAACCTGTGGCAATGGCCAAATCCTGTTATTTTATGTCCAATTCAAGAAGGATCTTCAAATGCCTGGGATCCAAGAAGAAATCGGAAAGACAGGGAGCACCTGATGCCAATTATAACTCCAGCATATCCTTGCATGAACTCTAGCTACAATGTGTCAAATAGCACATTGCGAATCATGATGGAAGAGTTTCGGAGGGGAAATGAGATTTGTGAGGTAATTTACATGAATCGGTATTAAGTCTTCTCATTGTTTCTTTTTGTTTTGCTCGTTGAGATAGGAAGTTTTCTGTTTTTGAACCTACTTTCATGTTTGCGCAAGTCTTAAATCTGATTAATCCTTCCATGATGGTTCTACACAGTAATAAGGGACAATCCTACAGTGACATAACAGTACGTTTATCGTTTGAAGGATACGCTAAGAAATTGGGAAAATGCACGTGTTTGTTTTTTAGGAATCTTTCAACTTCTCCGATAAATTAATTTCTGATCTGTTCTTAAGTACAGTCCAGTGATTTAAGCATCACCGTTCAGCCTTGCAAACACTAATAGCTTGTGATATTAGTAAAGATGTTCTTGCAAATATGAGGCAACTTGTATGATTTCAAATAGTCATCCTCGATCAATGTTTGCTGATTCTTAATATGTAATCATTATTGGTTGGTTTGGTCTGTACTGTTTTAGATTTTCCCTCGCACATTGAGCATCATCAGGAAGACTTAGAAAGCATATCCTCTAGTCGTGTGTTAGTTATGTAATGCAATGCGGGGTGCTTTTAATTGGACTTTTTACAAAAAAATAATTTATTTCCAAGTTGGCTGAAAAAGTCCATGTAATTTTTAGTTTAAGATTTTGTCTTGTGGAGCTTGTGCCTTTCTGATGCAAGTTGCATTGTCATTTTGATGTTCCTTGTACAAATTTGAAATTGTGTCTGCATTCTCAAAACTTGGGGAGCTGCAGTAGTATCATAAAATTAATCTGTTAACCAAGACATTTGCAGGATATCCAGTTCTTTCTTGAATGTAGACCATTTGTTGACTTTTAGAATCTCGGAATATTTTGAATGTCCAAATATTCAGGAATATTAATCGTACACCCAAATTTTGTGAAGTAGATTACCTTGACATGGTCCAAGTAGGACAAATATTCAGCATCAGTTGATTTTTCTATTTGCTGTTAACTTGTGCATTTGTTGAATTGTTTTGCTGTTTTAACTTTGTTCATATGTATACAGGCAATAGAGGCAAACAAAGCTGTCTGGGTAACTCTTTTTGAGCCTTTCGCATTTTTTGAAGCATACAAAGATTACTTGCAGATAGACATAAAGGCACAGAGTGGTGATGACTTCAGAAATTGGAAGGGTTGGGTTGAATCTCGATTACGTTTTCTTAATTCAATGGTGAGTTTTATTTTTCCCTTAACTTGTTTGGTGATTTGTAAGCTTCAATTTTTCAACTTCAATAACTCCGTCTGCTGAATGAATCAGATTGAGAGATATACAGGGGGCATTCTCCAATGCCATCCTTGCCCTGGTGACTTCTCGGATGAGTGTAGACCTCATTGCTGCTCTTATTTTATGGGTTTACGAAGAAAACAAGGTAGCAGTCCTGAAGGTGGTAAACAATTTGACATACGGTGGATTGTTGATAAATTTAAGCACCAAGTATGTCAGTACTCTGCTTGGAAAGCCACAATGTGGATAAATGTATGTCATGTGAGGCGGAAAAACATTCCAGTTTTTGTCTTCTCTGGGGGAATCTGGCCTTCCCAGCGAGCAAAAGTTGCTGCTCAAGATTGCTTGGGTAAAAGATTGCCTGGAAATAATTTTCTTCATGCTGATGATGCTGGTAGCAGAAAGAGAAGAAAACAAGTAGTAGTTAATCGTGGAGTTCATTTGGAGGAGTTTTCATCCCTGACTAGTGGGACTAGTACTGCAAGCTTGCAGATTGAAGCAGGAGAGGAAGAACAATCTGAAGCTGTTATTGCTGACACCATCAGAAACAAAAACTACCGCAAGAATATGACCAACCATGATCAGGAACCTGAAGGATCTGTAAAGTGCAGATCACCCTCATGCTCAAATCCAAAAGGTGCATCACCTGTGGAAAAGTGGGTCACTGATTCTTCTTCTGGGGAGATTGTTGGTTTGTCAGATATGAAGACTGAAGTTTCTGGTGGAACTGTGGAAAATAATTCATTTCAGTTGTCCATGACGGAACAAGGAGTTCAAATTCCAGTGGTAGGCGCTGGGGGTCGCAATTCTTGCTCCAAACCCCTACAGAATGAGGGCTTGGAAGAGCTTGAGGTCTTGTCAGCTGATATTTCGTTCTTCTAATCATTTGTAACAGACTTTCTGCTGGCAATTTGTCCCATGTTTTAATTCAAAATTTTGGTTGGATAGCTTGATCAGCTCCAATCTTCATGCATTTGATTGTATTCATATATATGTCCATGAGGGTGTTAGTCATGCATTTGGATTGAAATTGGTGAAAGACGGGAGTTCATATCTAATTTATGTGTGGACCTCCTTAACAATTTTATCTTCTAATTTATCAAGGAGTTGTACTCAAGTCATAAGGGTTCTATGCAGTTAGATAGCTGTATGGTTTCTTTTGACAGGGTTTCTTTTGATACTCTTATATACTCTTTGTTTACATTGATTTGCCATATGCCATACAAAAGTGGAAATGCAGAGAGAAATTTATGCGATTACGAAAACTTCTGAACTTCAAATTATGTGGCTTCGATAAACTAAATGTTGTTTTGCATTATACTGAGATGGAATCCCTATCTGATGTTTACTCTTTTCACGATTGTTTTCTCCAGTTGCTTCCACCATCTAGCGTTGCATCCGCTTCAACTTCCAAGGCCTCTCAGAAGCCTCTTATCAGGTGTTGTAATGCCCTGCAAAGTCAAATCACTTGATTCAATTAAACTTCCCTTCCCTTCCCTTCCCTTCCACTGGATGATATCTCTATTATTTACTGCTGCTAAAAGATTCCCCTCCCCTTTAGTTTGTTAATTTAGTCTTTTATTTTCAGCTTCAATTTCACTTCCTCGAAGAAAGCAGTTGGACCCAGTGCTGAGAGGCATCAAATGGCTTGAATGTCCGGAGTTCAATTCACCGGTGCAAGATTTTCTGTCATCCAGGATTCCCCCTTAAGTTCCTAATCTCATTGTTTCATAGCTCATATTTCCTTCCTGAATGCTTGATGCCCTCTCCTGTTATGATGTTCCACTGAAGTGCTGCTGTAAATTGTGTCACTCACTAGCTATAGAGAAGAAAGTGTAAACATTGCCATTTCTGTGAAATGAAATGCAGTCAGTTCAGATTTCAGTTCCCTGTACATTGGCAAGTAAACATAATAATATATTGTAAGCACTAACTTCGATTCCTTTCTGTTCAGTTAATGATTGTGGGACAGAGGAAGAAACAGAAATCAATACTATGACCAATCTTTTACCATCCCTTTTCTTCCTTCCATGAAGGATCACTTGTTCATGCATCTGGAAAATCCAAGAGTCATAATCAATGCAAGTGTTCTTTTTTGAAATTTCTGTGTCGAGTTCTTTAATGGGAGCTTCTTTCAGTCTCTTTTCCTCCTCGGTGTACGCGCATGCATGCTTGCTTGCTTCTTACAAAATCATCTGCAGGTTAGGCCAATGTTAGCTGAGGTGCATGAACCTGTCAATTTGTCGTTGGAGTGTTAATGCTGCCTACAGTCTGATGAGTAATTACAATAGTTGTTTGCCTCTGAACCAAAACCAAATAAATATGCAATCATCTATTAAAATCTCTCCATCCCTCTTATCTACTTCTTCTTCTTCTGCTTTTTTTTCAGTGACGTGTGAATTTAAGTAATCACTTTTAGATCAATCTAAACAATTTGGTTTAAAATTACGAACCAACAGCCCCCCACCCCCCCAAAAAAAAAAAAACGAAAAAAGAGGACCTAATTCTAGTTCTATATTTGTACGCGCGACTTGTTGAACTCGAAGGCTCATTTGTACTTCATCATGGTGCCGTTGTTCTTCTAAAAAGATTTTGTACTTTTCATGAATATATTTTTCAGTCACCTTCTTATCTTACATATATTACTATATCGCTAAAAAAAAAATACCCTTCTACAAAAATTTCAAAAAATAGCAATCCAAGCGGGTGCAGGTCACACAACACAACCTATTTCCATCGCTTTGTCAATTCTTTATGGTACCCTAATATTTTATTTTATTCAGCAAGGTTGCCATAGGCAGGTGAACAAACTCTTAATTACAAATTACATGCAAAAGTGCATGTCACCTTCAAAGCGGTCATCATTGTCATAATCAGGCTCATGTATAGATCCAAAAAAATTCTATCTCGATGGTTCTAATGGGCTACAGGCTTTATGTTTTACATTAACAATTGAACAATTATTAGACAGGCGTAATGCCACTATTAGCCTTATTCTGATGCAATTATATCAAATGTTGACCATTTGGAGGCATGCGGCCAAGGATAGCGACTTGAGAGTACATTAAGACGCCAAATACTGAACTTTCGCAACACCTTCTAAGAACATTCTCTCTACATATAATTGATTGGGTCTCCGCTCTCATCATTCCTTAGCCTGTTGGGCGTTGATATTATGATTATCGTAATTATTATTATTCTGCTCCTACAAAAGAATGAGGGCTTTTTGGAGATTTGGTTGTCAAACCTAATTTCAATTTGTTGTCCAACACGACACGTCTGTCCGTCTGTTTACTCGTATATATGAAATAGAAAAATGTGAAATTATTAGCTTAAACGTAATCGACTTTCAAGATTGTTTTTTTTGTTCTACGTTCAAACTGCATATATTAATAGATTTAGATGCATTATAATAAATTTCAAATTAAAATTTGAACCTCAATTTTCTGTACGTTTGGCATGCATTCACTTCTCTAATCGGAAAAAAATTAATAGTAACTTTTTATAGCTAACTTATTTAACATACCATTTATAGAAGACATTGAACACATTAAGGTTTAGACTCGAAGCTTTTTTTTTTTTTGGTCGACACAAGAGTGTCCGAGTCAATCCTTACGGTGTCCGACTAATCCCCTGCGACCCGGGCCCGGCGCCTCAATCCGGCCCGAACACGTTAAGTGCGCAGAGGAATCCAGCGGAGCGGAGACTTGAACTTGTGACCTCAAGGTTCACTGGTGAGAGGCGCTGTCGCTGGACCATTCACGCGGGAGCTAGACTTGAAGCTACTATTGATTATGTAAATTTTTTTCCTATACATATATATATGTATGTATATGTTGATGGACATGACACAGCAGGACATAGAGAAATGATGATGAGATGGTTTGAAGAAGAGGACAAAATAAATGTAGCATTTGATGTTGAAAATTGGCATCAAAGAATTGATTGAACATTGGAGCTGGCAATAATACAGCTACCAGAAGAAACAAAACTGGCAACGCACCAAAGCAATGAGGTCCCCCGGACAGATTCAAGTACTAAAAAATTAATCTCTGAGTTGAGAGATTTTGATTGGGCCATAAGAGCGTGGACGGTGGATATGCAAATCTCAGTTGATGCGTTGTATATTCTGCATTATCATTCATTCTCTTCTGCTTTTGGATTAATTATAATTTAAAAGTTATTAGTAATAACAGAGTACTGCTAATACTCGCTATTGTTTTTGTATTGTGTAATAGTGTATTATTGATTGGTAGTTTAGGCAGCAAGTTGTCTAAGATCGCGGGGCAAATCTTTTTTGGTCAGAGTAATCAGCACATAATCATATGGTCCTTTTCCATGTTGACTTATTAATCAGCTTATCTACTCTAATCCTCCCACCGCCCTAACGCGGTTTTCAACACCACCTATTATTATTATTATTTATTTATTTATTTATTTAACCAAACCAACCTTCCTAATTCTGGTACTGGTTTCTTTCTTATCTACTGCAGTCATTTAGATCTACCACTAAACATGATATATTATCATCCGAAAATTTTTCTTTGGATCTACCTAATTTTGGAGAATAAATTGGAGTTTTTATGATTTGCTAATGTCCTGCAAGTCTATTGATTAACGTTGAAGTTGAAGTTTCAGGATGGCAAGATTTTGAATTCAAGTTTCACAATTTGCAAGTTCTCTCAAACTTTATATTGGTATTTATTCTAATAAGGCCCCGTTTGAGATTGCGATAATTATAAAGAAACGCTTCTGACACAAGTGTTTTTAATATAAAAATGTTTTTCTAACGAGTACCCTCCCGTTAACACACCTAAAATATTTACCTAACCTACCATACATGCACGTATACTAATAATTATTACCCAACCTTGTATCTATATACTTTTTCTATTTCATCTTACTTAGGCTCCCTTATTTTTATTTATTTTTTCTAATTAATCTTTCATTTCCAAAAAAAATGACATCTGAAATATGTTTTAACGAGTGCACCTGTTAGACAAACCCTTAATAAAAATACTTGTAAGTTACCAAAAAATGGGCTCCTTAAATTACAAAAAATTTTGATTGATTCTACAATTGTAAGTTACATGTAATCTTTCCTTCTTTTTTTTTTTTGGGTGTCTCATTTCTACCTCACATTACTTGCTTTCCAAGATGAAGTCATTATTGATTCTTTGTTAAACACATGTTGGCACCCATTTTTGTGTCATAAGCAAGTGATAACTAAAGCATGCCTAACTCTTTTGAAGTTTTTGAGTGAAACATATATAAGATGTTTAGTTATTCGACCACATATTCACATAATAAATTGACGAACTCAGTTGTTGTTTTCCTTGACAACAACGTAATTAATTGTTTAAGAGAAAATGTGGAACAACAAGGCCACTCACAGGAACAAAGTACATTCTAGTCTATAGATGAATTTGGACAGTGCCAAGCCACTTTGACCTAAACTCTTGAATTCCTCTCTAAGTTTTTTCTATTGATTCCATAAAAAATTCCATTCTTACCTGTCTGTCCACTCTCTACTGAACAGTGGCAAAAGTCATTACCACCCATAATGCAACCAACAATCTCCTTTTAATTATGAACATTAATCTTATCCAAAGCAAATTATAATGCTGGAAACAGCTAAAACATCTGATTAGTAAAAAATTTTGTCGCAGGTTACAGGACACCAATGCAAGTAATAAACCGGAACAATTGATCAAGATGGCTTATTTTAACAAACATTATAGAGTAGTTTTTTGTTTTTTGGTGGGTGCTAATTGATTTGACTTTTGATAAACCTCCAGAACCTCTCATGCTGGTTGCATCAAGATGGGGTGATTAATTAATGAAACCATGCCTAATAAACAAAAATTAATGAGACCTAACATTAATATATAGTAGGATTATCTTGTTGCATGCGAAATACTTAGAACTCGGTGCTGCATCCATATAATTTTGCAGGGCAGCAATTGTTAGTAGAATGCAATCCAGAAACATGAAGAATAATGCAAAATTAGCATTCTAGAATTCTTTATTTAGAGCAGAAATTTAACGGTGTAAAAAGTAATCTCGAAGGTTTTGTCAAGAACCTGTCAAATACTTTCACGCATAAAAGAAATCTTAATAATTAGCATTAAACTGGCAACTGGGGTAACAACACAGAGGCTGAAGAAGAAAAAGAGAGATTAACTTCGGCTGTCAAAGGAAGGAACCTATTTTCCAATCACTTTTTTTTTTTATCACATATAAATTAAATTACTATAATATATTCCTCTGCAAAAACCCTTAAAAATATCAATCAAAACGTATTGGATATTTTTAGTAATTCTGAGGACTGAGATGATGTTGCTGGCAGTGTTCCTCTGATGGAAGGGATCATCTGCTACACGTCAAGTAAGGCATGCTGCTCTGCATCAAATTGCATTAGGTGTCGTTTGGTTCTCAAATCCAAAAGATGTGCATTACATTTTTCTCTTGGATCAATTCAAGGGACTCAAAACCTTGTCTTTTCTTTTCTTGAAATTCATGATGATCCAAGCAAGATGATTTAAGGGCTTCTTCTGCCTTGGCGGTTGGGACCCCACTTGGTTGTTGAAGACTTTGCTACCAAAATCGAGAGGCTTTTCCTTAGGAGCAAAGGAATTAGACTGGGGAACTTTTGGAAGTTGATGCTGTCACAAGCAATTTTTTAAATTTCGGACAGCATGCACCATAGATAGAAAGGTGCACAAACTTTTTATATCCAAATAAAGTCAAATTAAATCCGTGCAAACTTGTGAAAACCCTGCGGCTCTCTCTTTGTTTGATCACTGCTGCAGATACACTGCCCTTTTTCTTTCCGGCCCCTTTCGTCTCTCTCTTTCTCATGAGGATGAAGTTGTTTGCACGCAAAATATTGCTGAAGTTGGAGAACATCTCACAAATTAATTACCAAATGTTTTTCCTTTTCTCTATATCTTTATTGGCTTTCCCGACCAAAAGATCTAGCTAGGCTTGAATGCTTCATCATTTTTCATTTTTTTTGAGTTTTTTTTGGGCATCTATAGGTTCAAAGTGAATGCGATTAGTATACTAGAATGAAAATTGCATCTTGAATCAACGCATCTTCTCCCCTTAGATTAGTCTTCTGACTCGATTTAGCGATGACTTTCTGAGCGTTTCTAATCTAATTCTGTATATGTGTTTCTTCTGTCTATTGAAAAAAAAAAATCAACACATCTTCTTAAGGATCAGAGGACCTTCTGGTTCTGGACCACGTTGCTATAGTCAACAAGGAGGTTACTGTTACATCACTGTCTCTGCTCATATTTCGTTGAATTCGTCTATTTTTGAGTGGCATTACTTAAATTAGTAAGTAATAATTAATTAGTGTGGCAAAGCTTCCATTTAATCTCAGCCACAAGAATGGTATGTGGAGAAATTCTTTCTTCCCCCCTTCCTTCTCTCCAAATAATTGTGAACTTTGAACGATATAAATCCTGAAAGGGTAAGCAACCAAGATATACTACCATAACTATCAGACGCCAAGTCATGAAGACAGCAGTTATCTTGCAACCATAAAACTATTATTGTGTTCTATATAAGGAAGTGTAGAACACTTGAGGAGGAGTAAAACGGTTAATAATTGTAGCATTTCACAACTAATTCACCATGTACATAGCATATCACCCGATGAGAAGTTATGAAGGATATTCACTATCCTAGCTGGAAAACTGTTTTTGGGGTGTGTCTGAAATATTTTACTGTAACAGTGTAGGTGAAAAACTTTTACCGTAGATGATGTTGTTTTTTGAGGCTGTTTTTTTATTATTTATTTTGTATTTTTGAGGTTATTTTTTTTTTGTATTTTTGAGATTGTTTTTGTTTGTATAATACTGTAATAACATTATCGTATATGAAAAACTTGTTTTTCAAAAAATGATCAATCCAAATAGAGCAAAAGTCTTTAAAATTTGCTGGATGATTTTCGATAATCCGTTAATAAAATTTACTTTTTATAGTATTAAAAAAAGCCAATTCTTTGAAGTATTATAAAAGTTGGTAAAAATTCCACGATGAGTAATAGATCCATATATTGCTTAAAAGGATTGAAGTATCATCACTTGAAAGATTCTTACACGTTTAGAGTGGCAAATACTTGAAACAACGTAAGAGAGGTTAATTTGAAGCTCCATTGGAGTAAAAAGCATATGATTTAGTTAACATTCGTACACTTGTTTTCAGTCAGATAACTAGCGAAAATATAATCAACAATATTAAGACACTTAAGTCCACTGTTTAGTTAGTTATAAGCTCAGGAATAAGAGCCATCACATTTAATTGCCGAATTGTACAGAGAAATAAAACCATTTAAAACTCTTAAACCAAAGAAAATGGCATCTAATACCTGAGATCCTGCAAGAAGATGGATGAGAAAGGCATAGATTTAGAAAGTTTTTCTTTGTCTTAAAGACGTATGCTGTCTTTAAGATGATGATGAAGAAAGTCCGCGTCCAACTGTCCATTGTAAAATCCAACGGTTAAATTAGCACTTGCATGAAATATCTCTCTTAATTTCTCGTAATAAGTTCTGAATATGGTACATTGAAAAAGTGAGATCAAGCATGCAATATAACCATTTTTCTTGAGGATTACAAATACGTACTGATTGAAAACAAACTTTGAGGGGTTGTCATCATTTTCCCCCAAAAAAAAAAAAGAAAGGAAACTTGCAAATGTGTTTCTGGATTTCCATGCAACTACTCAAAAGATGAATCTGGATGAACTTAAAGTTTCACACTACTGCCAAATCATCAACGAGGTATGCATATAATTTGGACAAAGCTACCAACGTTTAAAGTCGTTGCTCGGATTGCAGTTTTCTGCAGAAAAATTTTTATGTTTTTCGCGAACAAATTTTCTAATAACGTTTTTATTTCATGTATATCAAATGTTTTCAGTACATTTTTTTACAAAAATTTCTAAAAATAGCAACTCAAACAAACGAGTATATAAGCTTTGCCTCTTCAACCAAGATCCTCAACCTAAAACAAATTCTTTTATCCCAAAATGAGCCTCCGAGCTTCTTCCCATATCCGTCTAAAGCTACCCTTCTTGGCTAACAAGTTTCTTGGGAAAAGTTTAGTAGGTACCATATCAAAAGATTGATGTCCTAGAAATGTTCCACGCTATCCGTAGACAGCATGATCTCTACTCATGTAATGTCAACTGCCGGCTTTTCTCAGGAAAAATTGTATTATTTCTTTTCTTTTTCTCTTGAATTTTTTTTATTGTCAAAGAAAAATAATTATCTACTCAAGAAAAAAAAAATAAAAATAAGAGACCAATTTTCAACTTTTATTTCCGAATAGGACCCCACCACGCATGGCCCCAATTGTTGCGAAAATCTCCAACTCTTCCGGTTCTTCTTCTCCCTCCCTTTGTTTGTCTTCCTCCTAAAATAGTGAATTCATTCTAGTTCCACACTAGTTTTCTTCTGCTTAAATTAGTAAATTCCCATCCCTAGTAGTCTAGCTCTAGCACTTTCATTCCTACGCTCACCCACCCAAATTGCCACACATGCACTCTAGCTTGTCTCCCTGTCCCCCTCTCCCCTTCCCACGTACGTCCGCCTCTTATAATAAATTAGGCATTTTGGATTGTCGTTTTTTACATTTTTCGTGAATATATTTTTCAAATACTGTTTTAATTCACATATATCAAATAATTACATTATATTTTTTTTTACAAAAATTCTCAAAAATAGCAATCTAAACAGGCTCGAATATTGGTACAAATAAGAAGTTTTTTTTTAAAATTTTTTTTTTTACAAAAAAACTCTAAAATATAAAGAAAAAGAAAGAAAGTTTAAAAACCCTTAGTCTAAAAAACCCTTGGTCTAAAAAAGAATAATGATTAATCTTTCTTGCACTAATATATATATATATATTTTTTTTTAAAAAAAAAGAATAAATCTCATATACTGACAGTATATATACTATCACCGTTGAATCGATGACACAATTGTAAAACTTTAGATTTCAAATTCAAATTTTGCACCATTGTTACTTATCCAAAATTAATCGTGTACATATTTCAACGTAAGAAAGATTAATTCAAAAAAATTAATATCAACAACGTATATACTAGCGATTCTGAATACTTGACAAGCAATTTCAATTCAAATTTGACTGTCAAAATTTGTACATATGGTAGGTATGGCTTTGAACCTGCCAAATGACCTATACATTATATCTTTACATTGAAAATTTTTATCTTGATTTGGGATAATTAGTTTAGTAATTGTTCCGGTACCAATAAAAGGAGTTCTGCGTAAACATGCAAAGGCTGCACTTGATTCTATTAAACCTGCCAAATCGACGTATAACTTAGTATGTAAATTAATAAGTGAAGTCTTTATGTATATATACATTTTATATTTTTGTGTGTAGCTTTTCAATCGGCGTTGGACCAACCAATAGGCACGAGTTAACCGACATAAAACTTCTCTCGCATTAATTATTAATGTCACGCAAAGCTTGGATTAGAAAAGGAGGAAGCTACTTCTTTTGATAATTCCTCCACCTTTTCCTCATCCCATATTAAATCCCTCCTCTCCCTACATACATATATATATATATATATATATATATATATATATGTATATATAAATCCCCCCAATTCATCTCCATGGTCCCTTCTCATTTCAAAGTGAACCGACCAACCATAGCTTAAACTACCAATACCTTTCCATACTCCTTTTTTAAACCCAAAAAAGATGGGACTACAAAACCAGCTCGCAGACATCTCCACGGAGTCCTTCCCAATTTTAATGGTAGCCCTCGTCGCCAACTGTGTAGGCTACATCCGTTCAATCCTCATCGGAGCTTTCCAAGCCTTTGGCCTTTCTCTAGCCATGTTCGACGTCTCCAATCTGTACCATGTCGACGACGCCTCTTGCGACGCTGTCGGGTCCGGCCTAACCGGAATCATTATGCTCGCCGAGCAATTAAAGCTGAACCGGGCCTTTTCTTACCGGCTTGCCGGTGATGGTGCTGCGGGATGCGGGTCGGGTTCGGGTTCGGATTGCGTGGTGTGCCTGAACCGGTTGGGCGAAGGTGACCATGTGCGCAAGTTAGCGTGCCGCCATGTTTTCCACAAGGAGTGCTTCGATGGTTGGCTTGATCATATGAACTTTAATTGTCCTCTTTGCCGGATGCCCTTGGTCGCCGATGAGTGCGTGGCCGTCACGAAGCGGCGCGTGACTGGTGATGTTCTTGAATGGTTCTCTTTGAGGTGAGTGTGGGCACGCGCTGCAGCGTCCGTGGTGATGATGACTTGATGATAATTAATGAGGATTATGATTGATGGACGAATGATGATGAGGCTTCTTTTTTTATTCTTGGAGGTGTTTTTTTTTTTTTGAGGGGGGAGGGGTTTGAAGGGAGTGTAAATATGTTAAGGGTTGGTAGAAGTTTTGACCTTTGAGCTTTTCTTTTTTTTTTTTTCCTTTTTTTTTTTGGGGGGAAACTTTGGCCTTTTTTTTTTGTTTACTATATATATATATATATGTTTGGAAAGATCAGGTTAGAGTTCCTTTGTTTTTTGTAGCAGCTGCTGTAAATAGTTTTCCACCTTGTTGGTGGTGAATAATAGAGTTGCTTTTTTTTTTTTTTTGGTTTTTACCCTTTATTTTGCTGGATTAGGGTAATCGTAATTTTGACTGATATAGCTGTGTCAAGAGATAAAAAACCAAATTTAGAGAATCTTTCAGAAGTCTAGCCATGTACAAGTAAGTGTAAACAATCCAGTCCAGTTACTTGCCATAAGAATGATACATCAAACTGAAAGTTCTCGGTACTATGATTTAGAACCCAGTTGCCAACTGCAACTGCTATATTTAGTAGTATATTGATCTTCTAGAGATAGAAGAAAAAAAAATGTAAAAATTGTACAAATTAATGATGGGCTCATCACCAACTTAATTGCCACGTTAAAATTCTAGCATAAATAGTAATGCAACTTTTTGGCTCTTGGGTTCTGAATCAAGCCTAATTAAATGAACTGAGGTCAACTTGATGTGAAAAATGGATGTACGAGATCAAGTTTGATTGATCCCATTTGATCAAAAAAAAAAAAAAAAAAAGTTTGATTGATCCCATTTGATATTTGAGAGACAACCTGCATATCTTTTAGTAATCGTTTGATGCAATTCAACATTCATGAATCGTGACAAGTTGAGGATTATCCGTCGCCAGGAAAAGCTTGAAAAGCAACAGGAGCCCCAAGGCCCTTTTCAGGTAGGGGCCAGGGCCATCCCCAAGAAAAGAAAGCACTTGGCAAACACAAGACCTTTCTGGTCGTCGTCCACATTCTGCACATGGTTCCACAAGGGAGTCCATGTGAAGACACACTTGGATCCATGCACTTGATCTTAGCGAATCTGTATGGACCATTTTCAAGACTGGTGGCTGTAACAAGAAGTAACCATGCCTAGTAGCCAACGTTGGCCGATTTTCTGTGCAGTCTGTGTTGTGTTTCACAATATGGTCTAGTCCCGCAATTTGGTTTGTGTGTGATATTTTGCAGCCTTCATAGCCAAAATATATGGTCATTTGAACTTTTACTTGATTGTGACTATTGTGACCCACACGGGCAATAGCCCTCTGTGCTGCTAGTACTTGTTACCTAGCAAATGCATGGTGGTCCTTTTGTGCGCTGTTGCATACTCAAAGAAAACAAATTGCTTTTCTTCTTGTACGAATTTTTATTTCAGCAGTATAAATCCATTTTGTTTTGAAGCCAAAACAAAGAGTCTACGTTGATTTTGGTGCAGAAATTTTAGTACTCGACTCTTAAACCGGTGCTCACTCATTTTTGCACCAATAGAAGCAGTTAAACAAAGGATCTGTTTGGATTAGCTGTTTTTGTGATATTTTTTAAAAACTTTACTATAATTTTGTATACGAAAAACTTTTACTGTAGATATTTTTTGGATTGTTTTTAGAGATGTTTTTAAAATATATTTTGGAATATTTTTTATAATTTATAACTTTTTTTTAAAAATTTCACGCCACTCGCCACTCACCACTCACCACCACCCCCTCCTTCCTCCTCCCCTTTCTTTCCCCTCCTTTCTCCCCCCTCCCTCCTTTCTCCCAATCCCAAACCCCTTTTCCACTCGCTGGTGGTGGCTACGACTCTAGTCGCAACCATCTTGGTCGCTACCAGAAAAGTCGCGACTGGAAGCCATGAGTTGAGGCTTTGGGTCACAACCTTCTGGTTGTGATTAGATTTGGTTGTGAATAGGACGGTTGCAGTTAGTGAAGGGGAGGGGAAATTGGGGCGCGGGGAAAGGGAAGGGAGAAAGGAGGAGAGAGAGAGAGAGAGAGAGAGAAGGGAGGGGTCGTGAGTGTGGGGATAGTAGCGGCGGTGATGGAGAGTGATGGGTGGTGGTGGTGGTGTATTTTTTTATATATATATTTGAAATTATTTTTGATATGTTGTATAGATGTAGTATTTTTGAAATTGTTTTTCTTTATATATTACTGTAATATTGTATATGAAAAACTTATTTTTTTTCAAAAATTGAGAAATCCAAACAGATTGCTTATTTGCAAGTTTATTTTTTTTAAATTGTCCCTAGAAACGGTAGGTATTTGTATTAATAAACAGCAACTTTACAATTTATGGGCAAAGGCTCCATCATCCCATGCAAAAAGGTGCTCAAGGACAGTTAGGATTTATCCATTCCTCGTCATTACTTGCAAGTTGATGGAGGTCAATTATTATGTTGATTTTGATTAAATGGCTGTACATCCAGTTTCTGGCACAGGCTTGCTTTACACTTTTGTGAAAAGGTCGAGGCCTTGAACGTGGTGAAAGTGGAAAAATACAACGGTCAAGTGTATCAATAATGGGGCATTGCCCAAATTGGGAGGCTGCGATTGGCCGCCTAAGAACTTTTCTACCTAACACTTTGAAGTTTGGAAGATATGTGCAATGAAAGTTTGTCAATGTTCATGGCGATCACTTGTATCTGTAGCCAGATTAAAACGTGCACTTCATTCCCTTTTTTGGACCAATCGGACTGCCTAATTAGTGATGACATGTTGCCAGATGTTCGTAGCATTTCTGCTCATCGCGTTTGACTTCCTTGCAAAGAAAATGCTATTGCTCACAACCATTTTCTCCTGTATTGTACTATTGTGTGAGGATTATCCGGCCGGCATAAGAAATTTTGTTCACATGTAAATAAGTATCCAAGGAAGTAAATAGCACTTGTATGTCAAATGATAATGATACATTAAAAAGACCAGAAATTCAATTTTAAAGCAATGTATGCTCCTAACTATTCAAAAAGTAGAATTTTATACATACTGACACTGTATACATATAAACTGTTCCTGTTAGACCGACGATACATGTGTAAAAATTAAATTTAAAATTTGTATAATTGTCATGGATCCAAAGACGATAGATAGTGTATAAATCGTCAATATACATAAGATTAATCCATATTCAAAACTCAAAAATATAATATTAGATTCCCTAATTACTCTTCCTAATGACTGACTACCAAAAGTTATTCCAATTTTTAAAAATATAACGCTAACTCGAATCGCACGATAATAACTGTTCTTTATTAGAGGATTATCCAATTTCAACCTGTTTTAAACTTTTGTACAACAATGTTTACGCCAAGGGCCAAGGGGAAGTGTTTCCTTTGCTGCAAAGGCAAGGTTTTGATGGGCTCAATAACTTTCTTCAATGATCTGATTAAGCCCACAGCTACGAGCTTGAAAGTTAGCTATGGGCTTAACGACTTCTTAGTGTGTATTGGGCTGCAAAGCCTGCTTATATGAACTCGGAAGCAGAATTCCATCCCAAAATCTGCTAAATCTTCTCTCTCTTCTGATGAACGAAATTCATGCAACTCTTCTTAGACACATGAACATAAAACACTCAAAACTTGCTTTCCATTGTTATGGCTTTCAGTAAATCAAGCTCAAATGTTTAGACTGGTCAAGAAATCTGCAGTTAAATGCAAGGTTATATACTATTTTGTTCAGGTAATTTGATTTTACCACCTCAATCATTCATAAGAAGTTAACACTTGCTTATGTTGATTTATGAGTTTAACAAAGATGAATGAACTAGCTCAGGAGTCAGGACTTGTATGGTTGGAAGAATCAATATTCGTGTAGTAGTCTTGTGTCCATTCTGACACAGGCTTCAGATTCCCTCCCATGATCATTCTTTACAATACACGTAAAAGTTTTGATTGTTATTCCTACAAGTTATTGTTTTACAGATGAGACATGTTTGTAACACAAAAAGTTCATCAGATCAGGATAAAAAAATAAGAGTGAAGATGGTAATATGAAGAACATTTGAGAAAATGCTAAAAAGCCTTCTGAGGAATGAAAAGGCAATATATTATTGATTTTAGATGAACTAATGATCATGTCAAGAGTCCATTCATTCACATTGCTTAATTTAGTGAACAGTGTTTGTGTTAATATCTTGGATCAAGATTACACTAGGTGCAACAAAGAGTTCAAATTGATGGGACCATTTTGGCTTGAGTTCTTTAATTTATGCCAACTCCCTTGGCAGATTGATGATTGATACCTGAAATGCAAATTGTGGCAATACTTGCGCGTATTTCATTATCACAACAGTGAGTATACGTTTAGCTGAACAGGCTAAAGACACCAGCAAAAAGACATGACAATCGTTCTAGAAACTTATTCTTTCCAGAAATAGAATTGCTTTCTATACTCAGGTCATCTCAAGTTATTCTTAGAAATGGATGCCAAAGATAAGGTGAAACTGCCCGACTGCTCGAGCACGGACCTATAATAAGCTCAAAACAACAGCTTCAGTACTACATTCATGTGAAAGATGCTGTTGTCTTTATGTTTTTACGCCTATAAAAGCCTGCATACATGCAATGTTTCTGCGAACTCAAATTCAGAGCAGGTAATTTAGCTAGGCTCTGGTTGAGAATGGCATTTACGATATCAATGAGACAAACTTTTCTTTCATTACTAGTTATCTTAATTCTGGTGGTACAATCTGAAGGTGGGGGAATTGCTATTTACTGGGGCCAGAATGGAAATGAAGGAACATTAGCTGAGACTTGTGCCAGTGGAAACTACCATATTGTCAATTTAGCATTTCTCTCGACATTTGGTGGTGGCAGGACCCCAATGATCAACCTGGCTGGTCATTGCGATCCCTATAGTAATGCTTGTGTAGGCTTAAGCGCCGACATAAAAGCATGTCAGGCAAAAGGGATCAAGGTGCTGCTATCAATTGGAGGTGGAGTTGTCAGCTACTCCCTTGATTCCTCTGGAGATGCCAGACAAGTTGCTACTTACCTGTGGAACAACTTCCTTGGTGGACATTCATCGACTCGCCCTCTAGGCGATGCAGTTCTGGATGGAATTGATTTTGATATCGAAGGAGGCTCAAGCGAACATTGGGATGAACTTGCTTGGTATTTGTCACGATATAGCAAGCGAGGTAAGAAAGTGTTCCTGACTGCAGCTCCCCAGTGCCCATTTCCTGATCAGTGGGTTGGAGGGGCCCTGAAAACAGGCCTATTTGACTATGTTTGGGTTCAATTTTACAACAATCCACCCTGTCAATACACTCCTGGGGAATTATCCAATCTTGAGAACTCATGGAAGCAGTGGACTTCTTCCATTCATTCTACCAAGACTTTCATTGGATTACCTGCTGCTGCTGATGCTGCCGGAAGTGGCTTTATTCCT